CAGCCAGTTGTTGTTACTAAAAATGCCTGATGGTAATTTTTTCAACTGATTGTTTTTGCAGCCACCCACCAAAGATGGTTAAGAGTGATGTTCATTACACTGGATTAGTATATAAACTATGGAAATTGTTATTCTAAAAATTGTTGTACTTTTCATATTCAACACAAAGTCCTAAAACATAAACCGTAACAATTAATTTCTTACGTGATCCGATGTTTTCTTTTTGACGTTCCGTATTAACGCTTGAAAACAGTTAATAAGCTACTCAACAATAAATGTAAAGGGTAAAATTACATTTTGTCATGCAGTGTAGTTTCCATTATATAGATATAGGCCAGACGACATTGATTGTTTTGGAGGCCGGGGGTTGCTTACCGACAAAAGCTAAGAGTAGGAAAGTTTGAAATAATAGGGAAACAGAATATTTCAATAGTTTTATTTAAAACTATATATTAAGCACGCGCAAATTAAAACACTAGGTTCAGGTTTATATCGCCAGGTAGAGTCATGATATAAAATCGATATTCTGTTTAACATAATTTCTTTCATTACTTCAGAGGAGATGATCTAAAGGCAGCCGATATATTAGTATTTTTCAGATCAGACTTTATAAAGCAAAATTTGCGTGCTTTATAGTCAATGATACATATTCTGTGGTTTTAAACTCTCAGACGGTAGATCGATGAAGAGAAGAGAAAATAATGGGGTATTATTTTTTCTTGGCGAGGAATAACGTCAAAGGGAGTAATCCGCCATGGAATGAAAGGGGATAAGTTTCTAAAAAAACTATTGTGCTGCGTTGGTGGGGGTAACAAGGTAATCCGGTTATATCAAGTGAGTTTAAATTGTAAATTGGCCACTGTAAAGAGTTCAAAAGCTAACGTTTCTAGCGTTAGCCCTTCGTCACAGCGAATGCAGGAATTGTGGGTTGTGTGTGGGTTTAATGCAGAAAGTGGAGCTGTGCTATTGATGGGAACATGGTGACGAGAAAAACACGAATAAATTAGTAGAATGAAAAGCGTTCGTTGACACCTATGGGGTTAAGAGCGCCGATTTAGAGGATAAACTTTTGTTCAAGAGTTTTGTGTTGAATAAGACTCATGCTATGTTCCATTTCAAATAATTTGAAATTTAATTCCTTGCATATGACTTTATTTATACCGATACCTGAGGGTGTACAAACGCAAAACATCTGCACAAAATTCTCTCTGTAATATTCTTTCAATAACACAACATCTCCAATTTTGACAATT